TGCAGCAAGACTTATTGGTATTCAACTTTCTCTTGTAGAAATTTCCAAAATTCTTCAACTCCTTTTTAGATTCGAGCACATACCTATATATATGATATCTGCCAATCAAAGTGACTTTTAAATAATTCGCTGGGTATTGGTGGTTCGCTGAAAAGCCTCTTACAACTACCGAAGCAAAGTTTAATTGCATTTGCTAAATTGGTTTCGGGATTAATTTTAATAAATTTCTTTTCATTTCAGCATTAAAAAAATCTTTTCAGCTTAAAACTTAATTTTCATGACAACCTTATCGGAGTCTTAATTTACATATCTGTACAAACTATATACTAATTTTCTTCAAAATTCATACTGATAATTTTTCCCAATTATGTAATTGTAGATTAGTTTGAGCCGCGTTGCTCAACGCTTCTATACAAGCACCGTAATTCAATATGCTGTTGTGTGATATATAAAATCGTGGAGTAACATTTGCAATGAATTTTTCAATGAGAAATTTTAACACAATATGATTAAAGGCAAGTTTAAAATATATCTTATACTTTTTTCCAACTTCATTGCTGGAATTCCCTAAAAGGGATGCAAAATCGCAACCGTATTAAGAATTGCATAGGATTAGATGTGATAGGAATATATTATATCAAACCACGGTAGATATTTTAAGCAGACGGGAGACTGCACCTTATAAAATTATATATATAAATAACATACATAATTACATATTTACCTACATAGTACATATGTACCCTTCTTTTAATTGCGGTCCATTTTATACCAACAATAAAAAAGTTATATAAATTACATAATGAAAAAGCCATCTATTTGAATAACATTTTATAAGCTGTGCATTCTCCCACATCTTGGATAAATTTCGGCTCAACTATATATAATAAAATTAACGTTTAAATATTCCAACAGGTTAAAGAGTTACTGCTTTCCTTCGGGCAATTGCGTGCCTTCAATTTGGTGAAGGATGCCGCAACAGGCTTGAGCAAAGGGTATGCCTTTTGCGAATATGTTGACTTGAGCATCACTGATCAAGTAAGACAATCAATTAGAGTATATTCTACAAAATATTAAATCGCTCTTCAAAATTTTCCGCAGGCGATCGCTGGCTTAAACGGTATGCAATTGGGTGACAAGAAATTGATAGTACAACGCGCAAGTGTTGGCGCTAAAAATGCGCAAACTAATTCCGCTGCTGCGGCACCAGTAACTATACAGGTAATATACCATTTCAAATTAATAAATAGAACGCCAAACTAACGAGCTTTAGTTTAGGTGCCTGGCCTTTCAAGTCTTGTAGTCAATTCTGGGCCACCCACCGAAGTTCTCTGCTTGCTTAATATGGTAACACCAGATGAGCTACGCGACGAAGAAGAATATGAAGATATTTTGGAGGATATCAAGGAGGAATGCAATAAGTATGGCGTTGTCCGTAGTGTTGAGATACCACGACCCATTGAGGGCGTTGATGTGCCCGGTTGTGGTAAAGTATTCGTTGAATTCAATTCAGTTATGGATTGTCAGAAGGCACAACAGGCGCTGACTGGACGTAAATTCAGTGATCGTGTCGTGGTTACATCTTACTTTGATCCGGACAAATATCACCGGCGCGAATTTTGAATGAAAGTTTAAACATATTTAGGGGATTCACAACTTGTGTCTTAAAGTCTTAAAAATTGTCAATGTAAAGTAATGGTTAAAAGCGTTTTAAGAGATTTGCAGGGTATAATAAGAGCCAATAAGCTTGCCCATTACCGTAGGCGTGGTCGTTTGGAAACGAAATTAAGACGAGAATTTGGCATCACCGTTGGCGTTATCGACATTTATCCGATATACATATACCGACAGATAGTAACGAAGTATAAATAATGTTCGTTATTTTTCGACCTCATTGTTAAGAATTAAACTTAAACGATTGCAGATAATTCAAATTTAGGAACGAAACGACAATAAAAGCGGCGACATAGAAACGACAAACGAAGTTAGGCCAGAATATATCGCACGTTTAATAATATAACGAAGTATTTCAAAATTTAAATTTTGTGGGAAAACGCAATCAAAGTTTTATCATTTCATACAGTTGGTATACGAAAAGACGGATGGAAAGGCACATATCTTCGCCATATTTGGGAAGTTTGGTTATCTGTTGGACTGAACATACTCTACTTATCAAGCTTATTAATTGCATAATAAAATTTCCAAAAACGTAAATTTTGAGTTACACCACTATACTAGTAAACGTGCGATATATCCTATGAGTTAAAAAGAAATTGGTTCAGTTACAAACCTCTTTAAAATGTTAAAATTTTAAATTTTTAAGACTTTAAGACATCGCTTAGAACGTCTTGTGGATCCCCTAAATTAATAGTAAGTTCTTCTTTACTCAAACAAAATATGTAGTACAATCCACAGTTTTACAGTAGATTTCTTTCTCAATTCTTGAAAAGCAATAAAATTACATTTTAGTTCGGAAAAAAAGCTTTTTAATTCAAAAGTTGGAGATATGACCAAATTTGTTTAGCACCATACCAAAAATTTTTCCGTGTCCAGTGGTGCATTTCGTCGACGAATGGTGTATTTGCTCGACCGCTACTCAAAATTTCTGGCGGCAATTAGTTCACACTGACAATGCGCCTTCTCATTCATAAACGTTCTCTGGTTCAACGGCCTCACACTCTATAAAAAGATGTAAGGGAGTCTCCTTGGCCGCGTCGCAAAAGCGACACAGGTCGCTGAGCCAGATACTTAGTTCTTACATCTGTAAATATTCTTGGTTTCTCCTTTGAGAGATCCATGAGTAACCTATATCTTATCAGATTGTATCCTCCTAATATGCTTTTTGCTTGACCTTGACCCATGGTGTTACGCCAGTGCAGTTCCCTCAGTTTGCAATTTTCCTTTCAGGTTCTATCGGAGTCGAAGAAGCGGCCATTCTGGCCAGATGATCATTTCCTACGACCCCCATGTGCCCTGGTACCCACATCAAAACCTCCGCCTGAGCCTTAAGCCTCTCTACACCCTCCAAAATCAAGGAGGACTTGATCTCGAATGAAGAGAGAACCATAAGTGCCACCTGACTGTCGCATAGTGTAAGTATTCTCTCATTCCTATAATTTCTACGAAATATTAATCTCAACACACATTCTAATGGCATAGACCTCCGCCTGAAAGATGCCATGCAAGGTTCCCATGGGCACCGAAAGCTTCAGCCTGGGGCCGTGCACGCCTGCTCTAATCCCCTTAGGTGTTTAAGAGCCGTCAGTGAACCACTGTAGTGTGCTCGCCTGCATGTGACTCTCCATAATAGAAGTACATCAGGTCGCCTTGTTATAACCTCTCTGTTAATATCGTTTAGAAGTTGAATATTTGAGGGGGTCTGCCTCACCGTTCCCAAAGTATTCCTGGAACTCCAAGTTACCGCACCATAGGTCACTATTGGTCTCACTATCATGGTGTACATCCATCTGAGGATCCTCAGAGTGTACCCCCAGGATTTATCCGCTAGACGTTTGCACACCATCATCGCTCTCGTAGCCTTAAAGGTGACCGCATCAACATGGGCGTTCCACAGAAGTTTGGAGTGCAGGGTAAAACCCTGCCCTTACCTTTGTGGCGACATTGATTACGACCCCGCCTAAGGTCAAGTTCCTTATCCCCTGGAGATTTCGTTTCTTGGTACAGGGGACTATAGCTGTCTTAGAAGGGTTCATATTTAAACCTATGTCTGCGCACCATCTTTTTGCAAGGTTAAGTCCTCTTTTGACGATGTCGCGATAATCACTATGTCGTCCGCGTACCCTTGGTATCGGACGCCCTGTATCCATGGGCGTAGCCAGGTAGGGGCAGGGGGTGCTCGAGCCCCCCTAACTTTCAAGTTTTCCTTATAAATGTATAAAATAGTACCCTGACATGCCAGCTTAATAGGCTGGTTAATTCTATGCCGTTAAAAGAGCAATAACAAAAACCCTGATGTCTGAAGTCTTGCGGACAGCGCTTATCGACGCAGGACGGATTATAGGTCGCAGGTCGCTTGGTTCGATCCTCAGAAATAAGACCTACCCTAGTACATAAATTTGCCACACGCAATAAAATAAGCCACATCTGGCAGCGCACTAGAAAACAGCTGTGTTCACTGTTGCCAACTTCTTCTTACTTCAACTTAAACTTAGTGCTTTTCTTTATTCAAAACGGGAAAATTTTAGTTTAGTGCGTTTTGAACGCGTCAAAAGAGAGGAACATTGAATGTTCGTAAAATTCGCAGCGTCGGAATCGTGCAAGTGTGCGCAGCTCATTAAAATATATGGATGGCATTGTTGTAATTTATAGCTCTGCGGATTCGCAACGTGTGAATCGCGCTAATGTGCGCTTCGCTTTATGTTTCACGTTTTAAGCGGTCGAAAGAAAAATTCTTTGTTCCTTTAGAACACAAAATCATAAGAGAGAGCAGTGAGATTTAAACTACCACGTACTTCATGAAACTTCGTTTTTGGTTTTTGCTTTCTTTTCGTAGGAATTGTAGAAAAACTAAGCAAAACGAAGAAAATTGTAACATTTAAATACTCCAATAAAAATTTGGTGCTTTTTCAAATGCAATACTTGGCAACACTGGTTGTGTTCGTTGTGATTTGTTTATATATGTAGTGCCAAATTGTGATGAGCTATGAGCGTAAAAATCTTCCTGCCCAATTTTCTTTTCCACACTAAAGAAAACTGTGATATCTATGGAGAAATACAGATCAACGAAAACAATTCCGTATCATACTTTGTTATTGCACATCGTACTCATGAAAGCAGCAGCCAAACGGCGTCGGCTGGCAAAAACCTGCGCCACTTAGGACATATTTTCCGAGCTGGCCAAACCTCGGCATTACAGCGCCGTGATGTTGCTCTCAGCTTCGCCTATGACGAGGATACATCAAACATTTACTTGCTCAAATTGAGCATAAAACCTGCGGATACAACACACGCGAATGTCTTCCTTTATGATGTGCCAAAGATGTTGCAACTTCACCGATACAGCGTCAAAAACGCAACCAATAATGCGCCTAGTATTGAACATAGTAGTTTTGAAGGTCATTGTGACGACGACAGTGAACAATTTAATGATGTTAACATGTTATGCCGCCTATTGAACGAAAATCAGGAGGAGAATAAAAGATTGCATAAGCGTAGCATTTATGGTCCTTTAAAACGAACATTTTATTTTCTGTCCAACTTAATAACTAATACCGTAATTCTCTTGCTGGAGGCGCGACTTATTGTATCACTGCTGCGTAAGACAGTTATATATGATCACTATTTGGAATGGCGTCAATACCGTGATTATGGGTGAGTTGATGCAATTTACATTTGTATATTTATAGGTACATATGTACAAACATAGTCAGTTACAAATAAACAAATATTTTGCTTTTAGAAGACGTAAACTCAATATTACAGTGGACAAACTTCTAGGTGTTTGTGTTATGTTGTTTTTGCTTTTCTACGTTGCTCATCCTGGCGATTATCTGCTAACAACGTCACATGTGAGTTATAAATGTATTATATATTATTACGACATATGCCTAGACACAATTTTATATTTCAGCTAGTTATCCAAAAATTACGTCTGTTGTTACGATCGCTTAAAGGCAGCCCCATTGGCTTAAAACTAAATGAGCACCTTAACAATTTTTTGCTCGATTGTTTTAACTATCACATAGATTTGTGGGCCAAATTTTTGGGTATTTGTAGAAAATGTGAATTAGTAATTTTTAGTTTTTGATACTAATGTGAGTAATATACATTCCTGCAGATCTCATTGAACCGATAGTGCGTCAACTCTTCGTACCGATTGCACTACTTGGTCTTATCGGTTTATCTTTTCAATTATCATCGTTACCTTTTTTGATATCCATTATTGGTCTACATGCACATTGCTTTTATATATACACAGCAGTGTAAGTTGATCGCTTCAGGTGAAGCATAAAATATTATTTTGTTGCATTATTTTTAATCGTATTTTATTAATAGATTGCACAAAGTGGAAATCAAGGGCATTCAAGTACTCTGGAAAGTGATGCTGGGAAAACGGTACAATGTGCTCAAAAGTACATAAATTTGTATTATTTAATTCCTCCTGGTAAATATTTGATATATTTGTATGTACATACATTACTTGCAGATCGTGTCGAATCGCATAACTACGTCAACCGCCAGCTGTACCTAGCGACCATATTTTTTACAGCACTACTCTTTCTTTTTCCAACTGTACTAGTCTACTACGTGGTATTTACGACTGTGAGTTAGATATATGTAAATTTATAAAATCTTCAGCCTATTTATAATCTCTTTTTGTAGTTACGCCTCTGCATTTATCTAGTTAATTTAGCCATTCAAGTATTACGTCGAAATCTTTTGGAATTTCCGCTTCAAAGGTTACTGCAGTGGACTATTGGTCAATTTTACGATATAGGTATTTAAGTTAAAAACATGACATTAAATATTTTATTTACATCGGTTTTATTAATCATCTTACTTGACAGAGAGTATATATCTCGCTCATATACCACATTCGCCTTCGCCTTTGCTGCAGCCAGAAGCTACAAAAATACATATGTCCGTTTTTAAATTAAATATACAAAAATCGCCGTTGAGCAGGGTGTTTTCATGTGAAAGTGGAATCCTGCAAGATTTTCAAGCAGATGATAGGATGTCAATTAAAAATGCGTTTAATCGAATGCTCAGAGGAACATTTTAATGGTGTTTGTAGATCTTATTTCATCTAACCATGCCAGATATGAAAAAATCCGAGTCAAATGAAATAATAGTATTAGTTTTGAAAACTTACTAAAATTTAAATAAAATTTAAGGATTTCATATATCAAAACAATGTATTAAACATGCCATTTAATTAGTTGTAGATATGTACATTTAATATGCATGCCACAAATAAAAAAAGGGGTGCATATTATAGTCGCAGGGTCACAATTTGGCATTGAGAGCTCGTCCGAAAAATCGAAATTTTCGGAGATTAGACCACAATGTGACTATGAACACGCCCTTAGCTTTGACTTAAGGTTCAAATAAACTTACTATGTATTTTTGTACAAAAACGCGGTCTAAGTTTAATTTCACGGAGGAATAAACTAAATTAAAATTATCCTTAGTTGAAAGTTTGTTTGGAGTTCTACTATACCGTCGTTCGATTCGCGTCCCCACCAAGTTTTTGTACCAGCTAAAAGAGAACAAAAAAAATAATGGTTGTTTTATGAAAAATATTAGAATTAAAGAAACAAGTTCAGTATACGTACATTTCTCAAAAAACAAAAGATAGTGCGCCCTATAGATATAAATTTGTACTGATTACAACATAATTTGTTTTTGGGGTAAACAAAAACTAAGTTTTATTCAAGGTCAAAGTTCAAAAAGTAGATAAAGTTTGAAACATTGTTTTACATGGTTTTGGGTAATGCATGAATAATATTTTTATAAAAAATCATAAAAAAATTTAACTTGAAAAAAGCTATGAATATTTAAATTAAGGTACGCCACTTCGTCGTGGATGACATTCTCCTGTACTAGTTTAGAAAGAAAAATATCCAATCAGCTGATCAATCAACACCACCTTGTATTGATGCGCCTTGGCTACTACCACTACCTCTTTGATATGCCTTGGTTGGTTTTATTTCCATAGTGGAGGAAAACTCTGCGCATTGATGCATCGATATACGCCCTCCGATGCATCGACACATATCGACGAGTTTCGATGCATCGTTGCGAGGAAAAACATCGATGTATTTTTGCACCGACATACTTAGCAGAGAACAGCTTTGAGTATGATCGAGCCTTTTTGATCACACTCACTAAAAATCAAGCACAAGCGAACGCCACACTCAGCTACTATGTGTTCGATCGAGATGCATACCCGACAGCTGCTTTGGTTACGAACGAGTCTGTTCGATCACCCTCGCTATAAATTGAGCACAAGCGAACACCACACTCGGACACCCGCAGCTAACCCGAAAATTTGTGTAACAATGAAACGGACACCCGAACATTGCGATAAAATGCAGGACAACAAAGAAATTTACGCTGAAGGTAACTGGCGCCAATATGTTCCCACAAAGCATACGAAAATGTTGTTGCTTTGTGCTTGTGCATACGCAATGAAAAAATTAGAAGCGAAGTAGACAAAAATGTTTTTGCATCTATTTCGTATAGTTTCGCGTGGAAAGCTGTGTGTGTATATATTAGAACACAGCCTAAAACTATGTAGGTACATAAGTACTTTTACAAAAAATAAATGTGCACCGAGTGTATAGGGCTTGGGCATTGCCGATCTACACACATTTATACCTAAATGGATGTAGGCGTCGTGATGCCGCATTTTGTATGAGCAAAAATATAAGAAATGGTTAAATGTACACTTAAACAAACTACCGAAAAATTCAACCTTCTCTTTACCCTCTACGCACAAAAACTAAGAACACCGCGATGAGAAGGCAACATTTTTTGTAGAAACAAAAACGTCATAAGCCAATCAAGAAAATTTTGTGCACACTCGGGTTGAAACTCGAACACCCGGGTATATTGAGCTGCAAAGCACCCGAACCCAATCAAGTATGTATGAAAAGCAATCGGGTGTTGTGGCCAACATGTTCGTCTTGAGCTCAGTCGATAACGAACAATACTTCTGCTCGTATACAGAGAACGATGCAAAACGGGTTTTGTTAGATGATCGAGTATACACGAAAATCATGCACCCGCTGCAGATGTCTGATACTTAGGTATCAGTGCTTGTGCGAAGTAGGCACCCTAAACTTTTTTTAACCGAAGAAATATGACCCTGTATTTGGCAATCTATTACTATTTATCTGGCAACTGTCATCTGTCACACGTTGCCTACATAAATGTGTGAATGAAACAGTGCTAGTACACCAAAAAAAATTCTAATTTACTTCAGGTTTCTATCAGCTCGCTGGCCTGCTAAAGATTTTTACAAATCTAAATTCGAGCGAAATGTCGGGATACGTTGCCAGGAAAGGACCCTTGATCTTCTGTGAGTATTCATTAGTGATTAAATAAAAAATATGTTTCGTGAAAGCAATTTTCAATTAATAAAGGGCATTTTGCTTTACAATCATTTGATTACGTAAATTGCGTTATATCAATTTCCGTAAATAACTAAAAAATGTTTTTCTATATTTCAGCAAATTTGGGCAAATGGGCCTATAACTTGTCCGGCTTCAATCAATACGGTGAGTTACAATCGTAAATACCGACCTGTACAAATATGTTGATCTATAATTAACCTTCAATTTTGTGCACAAACATCATGCTACTCTGCATATAGGTCTGCACCGTGATGATTGCCTCTATGAGAATGAGGACGTTAAGGAAGCTATTCGTCGGCTCCCCCGCAAATTGTACGACGAACGTAATTATCGCATTATGCGCGCTCTGCATTTGTCCATGACAAAAACACTATTACCCAAAGAACAATGGACCAAGTACGAGGAGGACGTTAAATATTTGGAACCCTATTTAAAGGAGGTCGTCAAGGAACGTGAGGAACGCGAAGAATGGAATAAAGACCATTAAAGCATTGAGTGCATAATTTTTAGTTTAATGTTAAAAAAATGGACTTATTTGGAGATGTGTAAACTAAAGAAATCCAATAAATTAGGAAATTTAAATTATTTAAAATGTTCTTCCAAATCGAATTTTCCAGGCGTAAAGTGTAGAAATACAAAGCACATCGGTAAAGGTATACTTTTCCTTTTCCAGACCATGCCGTAAAAAAGAGAAACATTAACGTGGCTAAAAAGCTACAGTAAATAACTGCTTTTAAAAACTTCGTATATTCAGAACTTAAATTTCGTACTAATGTAATGTAACCAAATAGTAATTAGGGGATTCACTAGACGTCTTAAGCGTAGTCAAATTTTTCAATGTAAAATAACGGTCAAAAGGATTTTCACTGAATCCGAATAGCCACAAACGTAGCGTATACTTTGTATTCTGTGATAGCACCAAATATTTTTAAACCGATAGAAAATATGAGGCAACGACAGTCGGGTCTACCGAACCGGAACGACCTAGATTTATATCTGACCAAGGACTGTCGCTCCCTAAAAACTCTTTGGGGAATTTGTATGCTGTTGCAACAACATGAGGCAGTGAGAGCTTATGTACTTATGCTATTCCTTAATTTTAAGGTACAAAGGTACATAGAGTACCTTAAAATTACAGATAAAACGACGTTTATTTCAAAATTTAGCAGATTTTCCGGCCTCATGCGTAACTAGCTCTTATTATGCCCATAAAATCCCTAAAACCGCTTTAACAGTTATTTTATATTGAAAAATTTTAAGACTGAGGCATTACATCTTGTGAATCCCCCAAATATCTAGGATCTCTCTGTATTATGGCTAAAGATTCCCACTCGAAAATATTCTAAAAAGATGCTTTGCTACTCTATTGGAAAAAATTTTGAATACTTTTAAGTATACTCTGTAAAAACTAGCCTCTACAATTAGCTACAGAGGAACATACCTTTTGGATCAATGGAGTATTCAAAATTGATCCTAGTACCGGTACTCGCCCCAAGAAATTTACCGCCACGGGGAAAAATCCGCTGGAATTTTGAAGAGAAAGTTTATAATATATCCCCTAAATCATAAAGAATATAAATACCTGAATAACACAAAGAATCCATATAACTCAATAACCATTCCGATCATTGGAAATCCCAGCAGAACCACAAAAATTCCGCCAAAAAATGCTGTGGTACCTTTAACTTTGTGCCGTTGAAAGAAAAACCTGAATGTGCGTTGAACTCCAATTACACATGCCAGACCACTTAGGAAGAGCAACTGAAACAATGCGAACAAATAAATAGAATTCAATGAATGCATGTAAGCAGTAAAATGCTTACGTTTCCTATAGCCAGCAATCCTTTGTCGAACAGAAATAGAACACCCAAAAATAGGAATGAGACACCAAATCCAGCCAGCCCAATACCGATTTCTATAAAAAACATAAAGCTTACGATTAATTAGTATCAATAATACACCAAAAACATGAAGATTCTGAATAACAATTGCTGTGTGCACGGACTTACTTTGTAAATCTGTAACTTCAATCATAGCGCTGTATTTCTAATGTGTAATATTTAATCTGGAAACAATTAAAATGACTGTAATTAGTTAAAACATCAGCGCCTATTTTCGGCAAATATTTGATTGCTTCCACGTAAACTGATTTCTTTTGGGTTTGTGAACAGCTGATTGGTGCTCGCATGACATTTGTTTTTTTTTCTGACAACCAGTCAATATCATTTTTCAACACTTCAAAGGCGAATTTATACAAGGTGGCAAGGATGGTGGCAAGGCGAATTTATACAAGGTCAAGGCGAATTTATGAGGTGGTGTTGATGGCGAATTTAGATTTTCGACGCGTTACTTTTTAATGTTAAAATGATGTGTTTGTTGTAAACAAGGCAAATTCATATTAAAACAAACACACAATTTTGATATTAAAAAGTACCGCGGCGAAAATCTAATTTCGCCATCAACACCACCAGGCCAATTTATATATAATATGTCAAAATGATGTGTTTGTTGTAATATGAATTCGCCTTGTTTACAACAAACACATCATTTTGACCAAGGCGAATTTATGCAAGGTGGTGTTGATGGCGAACTTAGATTTTGGCCGCGGTACTTCCTAATGTCAAATTGATGTCGTTCTTGCAAACAAGGCGAATTCATTTTTCAACAAACATCATTTTGACATTTAGAAGTACCGCGGCGAAAACCTAAATTCGCCATCAACACCACCTTGTATAAATTTGCCTTGATTTTAACATTAGGAAGTAACGCGGCGAAAATCTAAATTCGCCAGTAACACCACCTTGCTTAAATTCGCCTTGCACCACCTTGTATAAATTCGCCTTGGCAGAACTGCTATAACTGCCATCCTTAAATTGGCGCGTCAAGCGCCAAACAACTGTCAAAAATCCTCATGCCCATACAATTTGTATGAAGCATCCCACAATAACGCGGCGCTAACGCCGAGCAAATGGAATTTTCATTTTTGACAGGGCGTTACGTGTTGAAGTTGGATGCGGAAGACGGAAAGAAAGAGAAAGGACAAAAAAGTGAAAGAGGAAACGAGAATAAAAACGAGAGGATCTGAGAAAACGTCAAAAATTACGACGCGTTGATTTGGGTATAGCGCGCGCTGACACTCGTTGGCGCTAGAAAACCCAACGCTTGGCGCGCCAATTTAGGGACGACAGTAAGTTGTATGCGAATCAGCCTTTAGAGATTCAAATAAAAAAATATATGTTTATTGAGCTTTGTACCACGATTGTTTATTAGGAAAAATTGAAAAAAGCAACAAAGTCTAAGCGGTAGAAGTTATAGCAGCTGTTTCGGAGATCACCACATCTCTTCATCAGACTTCTTTTTTCTAGACTTCAGCCAGAGAACGATTAGATTTTCAAAAAGGAGGTGTCACATGAAAGGGCTTGACCTGCAGATGTGCAGTATGGTTTTAGTCTTTTAAAGGGTTGCCATATATACGAAAATCAAATTCAAATTATTTATTAAGTTAAACGAATTATCCCAATATGGTTATCAAAAGAAATGGTTTTGAATAAGTTGTATTTTCTAGCTAAATGTAGGAGGGTTGCCACCTGTTTCAAAAGTAAAATTTTTAAAATTTTAAAATTATACAAAAGTCTTACGCTTAAAATACTATACAGTACAGAAAGAGCTTACTGAAACACAATTAAAATATTTTTGAGGTGCCTGAAGAGGGTGGCCACCTGTTTAAAAAGTTAAACTCAAATTATTGAAGCAAATCTTATTATTATAGCTCCGTTATGTTTGCGATAAATATTTAACGCCACGGTACAGGTAGCATATGACGGGTATAGAAAACGAATGGCTGCGTTAAACGCCAATTGGGCGGGAAAAGACTAATGCAAAGACAAGAATATAATCAAAAACAAATATAAAGATAAGATGAAGATGAAGATGAAGATGAAGATGAAGATGAAGATGAAAATGAAGATGAAGATGAAGATGAAGATGAAGATGAAGATGAAGATGTAGATGAACATGAACATGAACATGAACATGAACATGAAAATTAAGATGAAGATGAAGATGCAGATGAATCTGACGAACTGACAAAATTCTTTAAAGAAAAATTTTCACTGGAAATGGTTAATGGTGGAAATGATCCAACAACCAAAGGAGCTGCTACCATTGCGGGTTTTTCCAGAAATATTAAAAATATTGAAATAAAACATTTCATATCTTACTTTAGCTACCACAATCTGCATATGTGTTTTCAGCCACAAATAATAATTAAACTTTCCAGTTGGTTATAAAATATACAAAATTAAAGGTCGTAAACAAAATTTTAAATAAATATGTTTTTTGTATATTAGAAAATATGTACATGTGCTTGTGCATCGCACATTTCTTTCTTTCTGGTATTTCCTCAATTAAGTTTCACTTCCTCCGCGCGTAGGGACTACACGCACTGAGTTTTTTGTATAGTTTAAGGCAGGCTCTTCCTAAACTATGTATTTGTCAATGTTATTGTGGCTTATTAATAATAATAATAAGCCACAATAACATTGACAAAAAAATATATGTTTTTCGCTCTGATGCATCGCAACAAAAAATTTGTACCAAGAAGGAACTGTTATTGCAAACTCAATTAAAAAAAAAATTGTAAAAAAAACTAGTTTTTTGGATTTTTTATTTTAAATTTTTAGAAGCTTTACGTTGGTAGCTTTTCCCATTTTTATTCTTCCTAACCGGCCGTCTTCACATGATCGGTTCCGATACGAGTACATATGACTAAATACTCGAGTACCTCGACCAAGTGCCGATTATTTTTAGTACCAAAGAACGTAAATGTACTTTTACGTTTTTTGTCGCTTCTTAAACATTTACGTTCTTTGCATGCGATAATTATCTGTCAGAAAAGAAAAGAAACAAAGCCAATAAAAATTCGGAGTATTTAATAAAACGTGGCAACTCGCATTTAGTCTGCCATATTGGATCCGAGTGCAACGCTGTGTGCGGCAAAACGCCATTTTTCAATCAATTCTGAAAAATTTTTCTTGTGGCGTGGTTTGCGGCAATCTTCCGAAAAAGTGAAATTTATAAAAAACCAAGCAAAACCACAAGTTATTAACGCTTTTAAGATCAAGAATGGATAGTAAGTATTATCATAATGTTAAAATTTGCATTGGCTTTCAATGTTTGTATTGATTATAACGCAGGAGGTGGTTATGGTGGCGCTGGTGGCGGAGGAGGTTACAATAACTTCTCCGTACCACCGCCAAATTTCCAGCAGCAAATGCAACCAAAAAGTGGTGGCTATAATGACCAATCTTCTTACAACAAAGGAGGTGCATATAATTATTATTAATAACGAGAAAAAAAATGCATATGTACATATGTTCGTATTTTTAAGGTTATGATTCTGGCAATCGTGGTGGTGGTGGCGGCGGTGGATGGAACGATCGAGGTGGTAGTGGAGGCGGTAGTTATGGGTATGTATCTACTATCTATACATTTTTAAAGCAAAACAACTTCACAAGCTAAGGCCCATTGAGAAGCTAACACCTCCAGCTAGAACATAAAATGAGTTTCCACGGTTAAAAGTTTTTTCCTTTATGTTGGCAATATGGTCAAATGCAAGAGTTTAGGGTATATTTGATGGTCGGTCGGCATGTATGTATCCCTCAAAAGTAAATTTATATTTCATTAATGATCTTTGGGAATCTTGCTTCTCTACTGTTTTTTTTTTCTTTTTTTTTTGTAAAAAACAAGTATCAAGCTTATATATTTCCACATATCGCTACCTCAGAATGGAAAGTTGCTAATATTTTTTTTTTGTTAGTTTTAAAGCTATACAGCTGCTGCAATACAGTTCAATGTGAGCGTGAGCTTTTTATTTTGACCAGTATCTTTATTAACTTTTTCAATAATTGATACACCAAAGATAGAGAATTAAAATTTGTAGGTTAAAAACTAATTTAAAATGCATAATATGCCTTTTTTCAAGCTCACACTAAACTGCGTATGCAAAGCATTCTCATGTGAACAAGTTTTGACAGATGTGTGTGAGCGTCCATAAGAATACAAATGGAATTTTTTGGCTTTGCGAAAGTTCACGCTCGCATTGAACCGTATATCAAGTTTAAACAAATTTGGATTTCAGCGGGAAGAAATAAAACAAGTTCCTTAGGCCCCGTTCACAAGTCAGGCGTTTAACGCGCGTTTTGAAAACTTACATCAACAACTGCACCAGTCACGTTTAACGCGCGTTAGCATACAAACACCTTGAACAAAATGTAAAGAAATGTGTGGTCACGCGCGTTAAACGCCTGGCTTTTGGAAGCGATTTATTTCCCTTGCCACCTTTATCAAAATGAACGTTTTTACAAAAAGCAATTTTTCAATCTAAGCTAGCGATATATTAAATTGGGCAATAGCTTTTCTATATGGTTGACTCCGTTTCTCTTATCGCAAAATGCGTGGATCTAATGGACTTTTTTTTCACTACCTGGTTGTGATTACAGTTTTAACTAGGGTTATAGTTCTCGGTTGTTTGGCATTAAATGCCGTATCAACCAAGCTGGAATAACTTTTGTAAGGAAAGAGATATCGCACAGAAATAATGAGTGGGGCGTATCTGAGCTTTGTTTAAAAGGTTATTTTTTTTAATGGCCAACTGTAGGCCACGTATCCTGTATGAACAGAAAGATTGACAACAAAGTATTGGATAACTACAAAATGTTAACAATTCATACTATTCCAGAACGCTTCCGATACGTTAAGAAAACACTACTACAGCAATGGGCGCGTCAGTAACAAAGTTGATGCATTGATTGGTGGTTTTGATTGCCAAGTAAAAAAGCGCTGTATTGCATTTTGTTTTTACAGTAGTTAAATCGGGTCACTACTGTGTATAAGTACGTTTAGGAAGTAAGCCAAATATGGTTTACAGCCTAGCCGATATTTTTTTTGCTGAGAGTTATATGTATAGCGCGTTAAACTGCGGTACATATTGTGTATGGCATTCTTGTTCCGTTATCTGTTTAATAAATTTTTTGATAAAGAGTGTAAACAGGAATGAAATCTTCGGTATTTGACAATTTTTCTAAAAGTTATCTGGGTACATATACCTACTATTGAACCTGAACAGCTCGCTATTTGCATTATTGCAAACGGCGGCTCATGTCTTCTCAGTTAAAGAAAACCGGAGGTGGTTCAGTGAATCTATTTCCGCCAATAAAACGTTTACCAATTTCGACCAACTTTAATATGGGATATGTATTGCTACAAATGTTCATTTAATATTTAGTTGATTTCTAAACTTATTCCTTAAAATATCTAAGAGTTAATTTTCTTTATAAACGGATATATGCAAGGTTTTTCGGTGGAGAAGCAATAAATTCCCTTATTGTGTATAATTTTTTTATATATGATTCATTTGTCTCAATACAATTGTTTATGAAACTTCTCTAAAAGTAAATTTTAAGGCGTAAAGGTGTAAAGAGACAGCGATTGGTGTATATTTCAACCTAAGCAACTAATGATCTGGTTTTTAAATCTTAATGAATGGTTTAATTTGTTGCTGTATAAAGAATAGCAGCAACTAGCATAAGATATATGCCCGCGAGTCCAGTGTGTTGTTGATTAGTTGGGTATGATTAATGATCAGAAGATTCAAACTGTGTTATATTAATATCACCGCAATATGATGGATCGTCAACGTCGTCTACAGAAATGGGGAAAATAATGGTTGAGTCTTAAACTGAAATGTCAGATTTACGTTATCCGACGGGCGGCTTGAGAATGGTACTTGCTTGTGTATGCGACATTAGACATTTAAAAACTTTCAGTTACCTACACACTGCAAATCACAGCACGCATATTTAAATGAGTCTTGATATCCTATTTTAGAAATGGAGGCGGCAGCAAGGACGGCTACAATAAAGGTAAAATAAAAGCAAGCCATATTGCAACAAATAAATGAGTAAAGTATAAATCAATTCATTTACTACTTACAATTCTTAACTGCGTTTACGTAAAATAAAATACTGTATGACTAGCATTTCCATAGAGCATTGAATCGAATGTATCAATTAAAACGGGTTTGTATAGAAATTTTACATTTTCGATTTTCAATGCTGTCAATTTTGCAGTTAAGGAAGTCAAAAGGATGCGGAAATTTTTATATTTTTTTTTTTTGGTAGGCAATTCCAATAATTAAAATTCTTTACAACGTGTGTGTCAGATTTGCGAATATGGTATATTGTGAAAAATTTTATTATAAGGCATTAAATTTGATGAAATAATGTTTATTTTGGGTTGAATATCATGGTATTAATTTTTAAGTGTTTGTAATAAGGTTTCAAACTTCAACAGTTTTTAAAATGGGAAAAATGGTAAAACTGCTTTCCATTTGAAAGTTATTATTCAAAACAAAATATCTATTTTTTAATCTCGCATCTTACGAAAAACTCCCAGTATCACAAGTGCTTTTTCTTGAACTGAAAGCCACTTATTACCCAATTTCTATTCACACATGAAGAGTATGAACAAATCACGTTTAAAGATGTATAAAAAGGGTGAATTGTTTAAAATTAGTGTTTCGACGCATGATGTACATATATTCACAAAAAAGAACCTGAAATACGCCTTTCTAAATTTTACGAACAACAATACTATATTTTTAACCGACTTCAAAAAAAGGAGGTTTTCACGTCGTCGGATTTTTTTTATGCATAACTTTTGGTCACGTCAGCCGATTTCGATAATTCATTTTCAGTCAGAAAGTTTTTCAGTTCAGAAAGGTAGTCTGACAGGTTCTGCAACTCACCTCTGAGTGAATTTTACTCTAACTCGCTTTGAATTCAAATTGGCAAGGGTTGAAATTCACTAGGAAATGAATTACAGAACCTGCCTGAGTGTCTCACAGGTGGTCTCATACTAATTTGGTTTAGATCCGATCATTGGATCATGAATAAATTAACGGTACTCCTAAAATTTTATATGAGAATTGAGTCGGTTGTGTTTTTTGCTTAAAATTTACTTGGTACATATATCTGAGCTTTTATATAAGACGGTACCCGAAATTAAATGTGAATCACACTGCTCTTCGTTTATGTTTCAATTGTGTTTCTTGAAGGTCAAACACTCTCTCATATTTTCCAGTCATCGTATAGTACGTTAAAATAATGGTTAAAAGTAGCTTACAAAAATCTAGTCTTAAATTCCACATTTCATAGTTGAACAAAAAAAAAAAACGTATGAAGTCAGAACATTGCTAACATCTATGCATAATTTTAGGCGGGTTTGGTGCCGGCGGCAGCGGCGGTGGTGGTGGTGGCGGTGGCGAAATGGTTACGCAAGAAGATACAATTTTTGTCTCTGGTATGGATCCCTCAACCGATGAATTGGCCATCGAAACCCATTTCGGTGCGATCGGCATTATAAAGGTAGGTTTCCAAATTGTCTGTTTCATCATTATATAATGCTGTTTATAAACAAAATCGTTTTATTTTTTAAAATTGATTTAAATTGCAGAAAGATAAGAGGACAATGAAGCCTAAAATTTGGTTGTACAAGCACAAAGACACCGGGCTCTCTAAAGGGGAAGCTACTGTAACCTATGATGATACTAATGCTGCCCAGTCGGCGATCGCTTGGTTTGATGGACGCGATTTCAATGGCTGCTCGATTAAAGTTTCTTTGGCACAGCGCCAAAATAATTGGAAAGGAGGTCGCGGTGGTGGTAGCGGCGGCGGTGGTGGTTTTGGTGGTCGTGGCGGACCCGGTGGTGGTCGTGGTGGGGGCGGCGGCGGCCGATTTGATCGCGGTGGTGGCGGCGGCGGTGGACCGGGTGGGGATTACGATTCGGGACGAGGCGGTGGCGGCGGCGATCGTGGAGGTCGTGGCAGAATGGGTGGTGGCGGCGGTGGAGCCGGTGGCGGTGGTGGCGGTAATGTACCACAACGCGAAGGTGATTGGAAGTGCAGCAGTTGCAATAATACAAACTTTGCTTGGCGTAACGAATGCAATAGGTAGGTTTATAGCGGTGCTTGACGTCGAAATAAATCTAAAGTAATATACATTTTATTTTGTAGATGCAAGGAGCCGAAAGGCGATGCAGGAAATGAAAGCGGTGGCGGCGGGGGCGGTTACAGCAGTGGAGGTGGCGGTTATGGTGGCGGTGGTGGAGGTGGCTTCGGCAGCGACCGCGGCAGTGGTGGTGGCGGTTATGGCAGTGATCGTGGAGGTGGTGGCGGTGGCTATGGAAATAGAGACCGCGGAAGTGGTGGTGGCGCCGGCGGTGGTGGGGGCTTCAACCGATTTGGTGGTGGTGGACGCGGTGGTGGTGGCGGCGGAGGAGGCCGTGGAATGGGCGGCGGTCGTCGCGATGGCGGTGGTGGTGGTGGCCCTGCTAGAGGAGACGGTGGCAATCGGCCTAGACCCTATTAACTGTCGTTTGGTTCGTTTACCGGTTTTACGTTATATGTGTATTTAACTTTAGAAAACATTTTTTTAAGTAAAGCGAATATGTTGTAAAATGATCATAATTACATATTACAGCTACACTCAAATATCAACAGTTTGTAAAGAAAGTATGGAACATGTATTAAAAAGTATAATGACGAATGTATATTACGATATACCAATTACTTTCCAAATAAACAATCGTCGGAATGTTTTAATTTCAATGACAAAATAATATATGTATATATATTTTTTTTGATTCGTAGGGTGTTGAGCATCGCTCTGTACATTGCTTTGTCGAACGGATAGTCTACGTACGGTTCAATGTCTTATTCGCGCAGGTGTCATTTCACGTGCATGCGCAACCACGGTCAATTGCCTAATTGGAACTTAGTTGCGTAAATAAGACATTTGCATCAATTATAGTTTAGAAATAAAAGAGACTGATGCTTTGGCTTGATGCATTTCTGGGGGGAGGGCTACTCTGTAATGCGATGCGAAAGCCAAATACGTCGTATGGTTTATGCTGTGGCGATTGCCTATCACATCGCATTACAGAGTAGCCCCCCGAACGCACGCCATATTTTGCCACTGTCCGACAGATTGCCTCATAAGTTCTAAGCAGGGTCTCTGTCGGCTTCCCAGGTAATGCCGGCTAGCGACTTGAGGACTTTGTTCCTGGATCGCAGTTTGTTGCTGGTGGCTGAGGAATGCGAGGATAAGGAGAACAGGCTGTCAAACGCACACACAGGACTTGGGTTGCTTGGTTGTCGGTATTTTACGTCTAGATCAAGCCTGAGCTCGGTCTAAGTGGTGGAAAGTGTGACGGCAGATTTTGCGGCGAAGATGTAGAAGAAACTTGATAGATCGGTGAGATAGTCGGTTATTTTCCCGCAAAGGCTTTCGAGGTAATCATCAACATAGCTTGCAAAGTTGACTCCGGTTGGTGGCGGAGGGAGTTTCGAGTTTCTCCACGTAGAGGTTAAGCATTGTCGGGGAGCGTACGCCGCCTTGGAATAGCCAGGGTTCGAATCGTAACATACGTTCACGGATCGAAAACCATACGAAAGAAAATTACGTGATACCGTCAGTCGTATAAGCTGAATGGGATAAAAAGTACGTTCACGTATGTCATAATCCGAAAGATGTGTTTTTACGTGGCGAGTAGTACGATATCGTATGCGACTATTCGAGCCCAGGTTTAAATCTATGCTACTTGAACTCGTGGTTACAAAATTCGACCGATGATTGGCGCCCACAAAGATAACAGGTTATCCTCCGTTTCATCCTTGGTGGAGGCGACAAGTCCGAAACGTCTGTGCAGAGGGTCACGTGGTTCACGGTGCCGAGTGCCTTTGACAGGTCAACTTGGACTAGGACCGTCCTATTCTATCAAAGGTTCGGCGTTGGTTCAAACCCTCGCTGATCTGTGTGGTGATGGCGCTCAATGCTGCGGCTAACTTGAGATGTTTCGTCAGGCTGGGGGGAGTAGTGTTGGTTTTGCAAGTGAGGATGGGAGGATATGAATCTCAGCCTCCTTGGTTTAAGAATGGGAATGATCCAGCACATTTTCCACATCTCGGGGATGATCAGGGTGGACAGCTACAAGTTGAAAGCATCGGTGATGTACTCGACTCCCGCAACTCCTGGCTTTTTCCGTATGCATGGAGATTCCGTCTGGGCCTAACGCCTTAGATGCTTTGGCGTTGTTGACAGTTGCCGCGTCTCTTCTGTGGTAAAGACGATGGTGTGTCTTGGGGCGAAGTTTGTCTCTCTCTGGGTGTGCAATGAATTGTCGGCTGAAGAACGCGCGCGCGTCCTTTGATCCGATGTAGTGATGCCAAATGTAAGGACCACATTGTCCTTACGCTTAGTCGGATGGGAGAGAGACTTGACTGGTCCGCAGTTTGTTTGCTCCGTCAGAGAGATTGCAGGCCTTAAGACGCTCATTCCACATTTTCCCGTTATATTCATTGACCAGGTTTCTAATGTCACTATTCAGATCTCTGATGATACGGAGATCCCCTGGATTAGCCCGGCGGATTCGATCACGCCCGTCCGCGAGTCCCGCCGCTTCTGCGGAGACGCCTATGAGAACTTTGTTAATCCTGCTGCTACGTTGATGATCCTGCGGATATTACGCTCAGCTACGCGCGCACAAGATGGTAGTGGAAGAGCATTGAATTGAGCCGATATTGAACCGCGTTATGCAATATAAGGGCTACGCTGCCTCATGAGCCACGGGCACGATCTCTCCGGAGAACGTTGAACTCGTCCTGACTGTGACTGTTCGAGCCGGAGTGGAGTTTGGTCTACTGGGTCGCCGGGGACTACGATTTCATCTCTTGAAACCAACTATCTCAGTGATCTTACTCTGTAGGCCGTTGTAATTAAACTGGTTTCACTGGTCTCTGGTGATGGCTACGAGCGTGGTGAATGAGTACTGGCACGCTGCCTGCGGTGCCTGTGGTGCTTGACGCGCTGGTCTCAGGCCGGATGGTCTTACTGCTGGTGTTGGTGCTGGCGCCGGCGTGGGCGTGGCCGACGATTGTTGAGCTATCGTTGGCACTGGGTGTTGTGGCTGCAGTGAATGCAGTACTGCATTCAAAATGGTATGTAAAGCCTGAGCAGCGTTTCAGGTCGCACCAGGTTGTTGCATGCGTTGCACCTAACCGTGGAACAACCTGACCTTTGTGGATGTCCTGGGTTGCCTACTGGGAGTTGGCCCACTGGTTGATGGTTGGGCGGGTGTCAATTGTGCGGAGCGGCGGGTTTGTTTTGGTGGGTTACTACTGTAGCGATGGTGCTTGGTGGGAGTATGTGCTCCGCCAAGTCAATCCGGTAAACGTACAACCGACCGGAATTCGACAGGGTAAGAGTATGATGTGCATTTTGGAACGAATTATAGTAATCTTTTGCCAAATATGGTTTGAAGTCAAACTAGTTTTAGCGCCATGCCATCTTCGTTATAAATGTTCGTTCTTTAATGGAGATTGTTCAAAATAATTTATTTGCGTGTTCAGAAACTTAAATTTTGAGATCTCCTCGGCGTCGCCCTAGCAATGTCCTTAAACTAACCAAAAATCGATTTTTTTCATGAGATGACCTGATTTCAGATTACGATATTTGGTAGATAAGTTATTGTTTTGAGTAGCCGCTTTCCATCCCCCATTTGTATGCTCGATTTAGGTCGGACCAAATGGAGAGGAGTGTTAGTTGGGTTGGGTTGAGCGGGAAAAGTGGTTGGTGTCATAGGGTAACCTCTTCCTACAGTTCGTAGAGATGCCTCCGGACGAGCCTACTACTTACTGAGCATGATGTTGTGTTCCCTTACGGGCAGCACCTGAGCCTCGCTGCGTAGCTGATGTTCTGACGACATTACCTGTGCGGAGTGCTTAGTTGTGGCAGGTCTGCAGCTTCGCTCACTGTGGCCGGCTAATTTCCTTGTTAATATGTTGCCAACAACGTTCCTTTGTCTTTGGCGCAAGTGCTGCCGGCGATCTATTTGAAGACTTTGTTTCCGCTTTGTACTATTTTGGCAGTTGCGGTAGTGTGCACTGAGAGCAGGGGCTCACGTCTTTCGTCCATGTGTAGAAAATGATTTCTGAAGGGGTAAGGCTCCTTGTTTCCATTTCCATTCGTCGTGGAAAATGTCGAATGGTCTATCTTCTGAGCCAAGTGTAGTCCCTACGATTATACGAATTGACAAAATACTTTAGCCATGAACGTATTCGACGCGGGTCCCACTGCTGGTATAAGAGTAATAGTAAGACCTCCTCTGCGATGGAAAGACTAAGTGGAGAAGGACTAGGCATTTTTAATTGACGCCAGTTGGCTGAGAAGAGAAACGATTGGTTGCTTTATTGGACTTGGCCAAAACCGCTTATGCTAGGCGCACATTCGATTGGATGGGCCGTCCGATTTCAGTCGACTGATATTTATGTACGTCCAAAACGACGCGTACACTTGGCGCGGTTATTAGTCGACTGCATTTATGTATGTATATGTACAAATCTGGTTTTCATAGTGATAGAACTTTTTGGAAAAGTATCGATACCGGTACTCAATTAGAGCAATCTAAAGAAGAATCGATGCCAGTACTCATATTTGCAAAAAAGTATCGATAATACTCGTACTTCCATGTATTTTTGAGGCAAACGGGAAAAGTAAACACAAATCAGATTACTTTACTTTTATGACCTATTCCTATTGGTAAATTTAATAGACATTGCTTTTAATAGCTCAAATCTGATCGAAGAAGCATTTCTAAAGAAGTTTTTTTTACAGACATTTTATTCGAGAATGGGCTGGATTACGAATTTACAACGAAGGTAGAATACATTAAATAACCAAGCTCCGTTTCGATGGAGAATGGCCAAGTTATCGAGCCGTAGACCACCCTCTTACCCCATTCATTATCTCGAAAGTGAGGCAAGAGATTTGTTTTCCAATAATTTAAGAATTTTTTACCGAGCCCAATGTTTAAATGACCTCTACCTCTTCTTCTATGTCGTGTAAAAATTTCATAGTTGTACGGAATACCAATAGGTCATTTGAACAAGATATGTATTAAATTTTATTATGGAAGTATATAAAAATTATTAACTTTAGAGCCGTTTTTCTAGAGTTTTTGGTTTTTTGAGTTATGACAGCATTGATGGAAATTAGCGTTATCTTCATTTACACGGCATTCATATTGCATATCGAAGATAATTTTCGAACGTTCGCTACAATGTTTGTTGGGTAATTTTAAAAAAAATGTTCAATGTAATTGAAAACAAAATTTGTATGTAGTTTTTAAAAAGTTTACTTTGCAAGTTTTTAATACGTCGATTCTTTTTGGTATTCGCGACATTTACTCAGTACTTGTCAAAAAGCATCGAGTTCTCGATACTACTCAGTACTCATGAAAAGTATCGATACTCTGTACTCGGTACTCGTATAGTTCTATCACTAGGTTTTCATTTAAATTTCGAACGCAGTGAAATGTTCCGCCGATACCGGTTGCAGTGTGCGCGTAGTTTCAGGCGATTGCAGCGCCAAACAGGAAGATGAATTATTACATATTTATTTACATACATACATATTTATGTAAAAATGTGGTTTGAATTAAGGTTAGTGCCTTATTGGCGCCAAAAACCCATGCAACCGGATGTTAATAGTTGAAGGGCCCAAACAAAACAGCATCAAATATTTGCTTAAATTATACATATATTAAATAGCGCCAGCGATGCACCAA